GCCGCGCGCGCGTTTCTTTCTTGCGAGGTTTTGCTTTTTGTTGTCGTTGTTCTTTATCAAGTAAATGTGACTGCGCTTGGCTTTTACACACACTTCTCCATGGCTTTCACCATTTCTTAAACCTTGAGTATGTGAGGGTTTTTTTTTGTGTTTTTTTTTTAAACAAATGTTTTGTATTTTACCCCTTAAAATAGGGAAGGGAAAAAACTGTTTTGCTTTTTGGGGTGATATTTTAGATGAATTGTATTTTAAACCTAAACCATTAAAAAATTGATCATTTTGTAATACCACCTACATTTAAGACGTGGAAATTCACAGGGGCTACCTCCTATTTTTATTTTATTTATTTAATTATTATTAATTTTTTATTTATTTATTTTTTTGTATTTCAGAGTCCTTTCCATTTCAAGGAGAGAAGCCAAGGTGTTTTTACCCGGTGGAGGAATGATGTAGTTCCGTCTGTTCCCTTTTCTTGTACTTCCAGGTAAGCGAGTCTGTTAATTGTAAATTGCTTGAGAAATGAAGCTTTGTATGGCTTGACTTGAACTCGGTATCCTGGCTGTGTTGGAAATATGTTAATTTCATTTCACTCTCAGTAGTGTGTTTAAAGGCAAATTATTATTTTAAGATATGAATACTTTTTCAAAGTAATGAAAGTGCCTGGCTGCTTCAAATCCCCTTTTATTCATTTTGCAAAGCCTGTAATCTGCGTTTGACTTTACCAACCTCTTCAGGATTTCTCTCTTCCCAGAGTGGCAAATGATTTAAACCAGTGATGTAGTTAGAAGAACTACATGATTCTTTTTTACAAACTGTTCACTTGAATAGGAACATTTGTTCTCTTGGAAGTCGTCACAGAATATTAAGCTTTCTCAAATATTTAGCCCATAATCAGGTGGGCATCATAATTTTGACCATGTCACAAAATAATTATTTAAATAAAATGGCTTAGGAAGTTGAAGAATGATCTTCCTCTCTAATTTATAACATCTTAGGGGTATATTTTCTAGAACTCTTGGAGACTAGCCCCCCTAATGGATTAAATGGTTGGTTTTAGTCTGGGGACAAATGTAAATCTCTGGAACGTTGTTTTAGTTCTGCTCTTGTAACCAGTAATTTTGTGTGTTTTTTTGCAATAAGATATTTTGTAACATCTGGCAAGACTAAACTTTAAAAAAACCCATGAACCTTGCAAACGGTCAAAATGCAACAGTTGGAAATGGGAAGTTACAACTATGGTTGTTATCTTCAGCAGAGCAAACCTTTTTTTAGTTTTCTTTAGAAATTAGTCAATAGGCATAATGAAAATAGGTAAGCTGTGCTCAGCGTATACATATCATGAAGAAAACTCCCTTCACTCTTCCTCTTCATTTAACAAATTTCTATAGAAGTTTTGTTCATGATTCCGTATTTTCTGTTTTTACTTCTGTTACACTGGTTAAGATTAAAGAGTGGAAGCCAAAACATCTGATTTTGTATTAATGAACTGCTTTGTGCTAAAACAATGGAGTACGAGGAGTTTAAAAGGGATTGTGTCTGAGTTACTAATGATGGAAAAAGAAAACGACCTTGGCCCAAAGTGAGTAATACAAACAAAAATAACCAAGGAATAATTTTTCAAAAATTCTCTTCTGAGTAGAAAGTCAAGTGGCGAAGAGGCCTGAGTGATTTAGGGCCAACCCGAGGGGCATGTAGAATTGTTCTCATTTAGGTTTTGTGACCTTTAATGTTTTTGTGAATGACTTGGATGATGGAGGAAACACTGTCATTAGAACACAATGTAGACCGTAATTACTAAAATACCTTGAGATAACTGTAAGGAAGAGCCAAAGTAAACCTGACAAAACAGAGAGGCAATCAAAAGCTGATTTAAGGTCTCCTTGGGCCAGTACAGAGTTATAGGATGTTTGTGCTCTAATATGAAGCTGTCACAATAGCAAGACAGGGAGTACTTAGGGTGGGGTGGGGGTGCAAAAGGGCAGGGTGGGACATCCCGAGGTGGGGTTCAGTGGTGGTCACAGTACTGCGGATCCCTGGGCAGAGACGCAGGATACCAGGGAGCCAAGTCTCCTCCTGGGCAGTATTAGTTTGGGAAAGTCAGTTTTCCAGGAGTCGCTTCTTCTTGACTGAGTCCTTTATAGACTCAGTGTGGACCTTCAGCAGGGGACCTTCACCAGACCTGTAAGAAGCAAATGACAAATTGCAAACAGGTTGCTTCTCCCTCTGGTAGGCAGAAAATTCACACCAGTGCATGGTGGTCATGGCATGCAAGCAGGACGGGTTTGATTGTTTAATTCAAATATTTAATAGCATTAGGCCATAAAAGGTGTGCAGTGCGGAAATCCTGCTGTCCCGCACACGTCCTTCCCAGAGCCTGTCCCGCTGCAGTTCCTTCTCGGTGGATTGCTGCTCATCAGGTTTCCACCCCACCCTGTTGGTGTCTTTCCTGTGTCCCTGTCCTGAAATGTGTCCACATTCCCACACGTCCTTAATTCCTGCCCTCCTGTCAAGGGAAAGGTGCTGTCTTGCAACCTGTGTTCCCGGTCACACCCCCTCGGGTCCCCCACCTTTCACTCCCTTCCCGCCTGTCCCTCCCCCAGTCCCAGCGACTGCTGGACACTGTGTTGGTCTCCACCCTCTTCCCTTCCACCTGGAACACTTTCTTCCTTCCCACCCCTGCCAAAGGACCTTTTACTCAGCGTCCAGCAGCCATCTGGGGAGCACCCCTGTCCAGGCATCTCCTACACCTAGGAACAGCTCCCGGTGCCCCCGAGGCCCTGAGGAAGCAGTGGCTGGGTGAGCGAGTGAGTGGCAGGGGGGTGAAGGGATGTGGGGCCTGACGGTGCCCCACGTGTTCCCTTAACCCGGCCCGCCTTCTACCCTGGCACGCGCCTTATCGTGACTGTTTGCTCGATGGCCTCCTGGACTCACGCCTGTATTTGCAGTTAAAGTCTGATTCCCAAACACCCACTTCCTCATCGGTTTTTCCTCAACAAATAGGATCTTATTGCTCATCCAGAAATGCTTGTATGACACTTAAGAATTATTTTTATGATTAAGAGCAGAAATGTTTGTTCTGTCACAGGCAGAGGGCATGACAAACTCCAGGGAGCCAGCTACTTCAGTCTTTTTTTCCCTTTTCTTTCTTCATCACACTAATGGGCTTTTCATGTGGAAAATCATGACTCTAAAACTGTAAATTACACTCTGGTGCTTGAAAGAGCACCATTTCAAAATGTTTAGCTGACACTTAGGAAACAGTTCTCTTCTCACTCGGAGGTCCTGACCCGCTGTGTAACAGCTTTCCTGAAGGATTTAAAGCGAAACTTGAATCCGGTCAGCCCAGGGACATGCTTGCTGGGAGGGAAGCAAGGAGCTGATGGAGCTGGGAGGGCAGGTTTGAGGAGAAGGGCTGAAAATTAGAGATGGAGGGTGGCAAAAAGGAAGAGTTTAACCTTCTGGAAACTTGCAGCTCAGTAGTTACTTAGATTTTTATAATGTTCCAAACATGATCATATGGTCAAGGCCATCAGAAAAAACAAAATTCAATCCAAGTTGATACTTTAATTTTTTTCCCAAGGTTCTTTAAAAATATATGGTAATTAAAAATATTAGTTAATGTTCACAGGCAAGTGTTTTAGTGAAGAGTTGCATATTTTCAACTCAATAAACATATATTGAGACTTACTACATGCTAGACTTTGAATGCGCTTTGTGGTCACCAAGTGCCAGTTCTTGAATTGGAATCCAGTCTGGTGAAGGTGTCAGTCATCTGCAGAGAAATGACGATGGCGATGTTTTAGAAGAGGTAATATTCACTTCAGAAGAATAACCTCTACATTGAAGTTCTGGTCTTTTTCTTATGTATTAAAATTTGAAATATCTATTTTTTAGAATATAATGATAGTTAATATTTAAAATTCTATTTGTTGGCAAATTAAAATTTTGGATATCATTTAATAGGATTCTTGGTTCCAAGAAACAGAAATCAACTAGACTAACTTAAACAGGAAAGGAATCTGTTGGGAGAATGTCCCACAGAATTGATAGGAGAACCAGAATCTCATATACAGTATAATGAACGCTCGCAGACAGTGCTACTTGTATCATTAAATGTGTTTTCTAAGTTTATAAAACATGTCAATAGCCAGTCTTGTCCCAAGCCTGTGAGATACATGCCAAGCGATAGATAGGGGTCTTGATAAAGAGGAAAAAGGGTTAAAATAAAATAAAATTAATTACCATCACATGATTTATAACATGTGACTTTTATGATAACTTATTGCAGCAAAGCAAAATAAAACACTTACCTAAGCCTTGTCCTAATTTGGGTTTTGACCTAAAGTTGGAGTGAAAGATTGAATGGAATCTTCTGCTGTTTTGATAGGAAGGTGGTAAATGTCTGGCAAAGGATTTAAGCCTTCAGTTAATTTCAAACAGTACCTTTCTCCTAACCTCTCTTCCTAGCCTATACCTTCCCCCTCGAGGAAGGTCTCTAAACTTTTCCTGAATAAAATCATAGGAGAAAGTTAAGACAAAAAAAGTGTATGAGTGAAAGACAATAACTAACTTTGAGAAAGAGTCAAAAGTGCATCAGAAAAATAACCTCTTGGTTACACTATTTACTACACTTATAATTTCCAGTTATCAATTGTCTCGATTTGGGGAACAGAAACAGAAGTACATTGCCACCAGTGTGGTGCTTGCATGCACGGTGGTGTCTTCCTAAGGCGTATTCAGGTACTTTTCTTCCCTTTGAAGTGGACTGAAGGTGTTATCTAGGCATTCCCTTTCTACTGAATTTCTTTTTTAAATTAGGGGTGCACATCGTTACGACCATGCCCTTCTTGCCTCTTGTTATTGGACAGTTTGGTGCTGGGGTCGTTGCTTGAGTGTTTCTGGAGGAGAGGCAGTTAGTGCCACAGGGCGTAGACTCAGGATTGGCACCTCAGTGCTCTGCCTTATTGGCAACGTGAGCCAGTACAGTTACTCATCCCCTCTGCCCTCCACTCACTGCACCTGGAAAATGGAACGAATGGTATTTTTTGGAGTTGTTGTAAGGATTGAGATTAATGTTTGTGAAGTACCTGGCTCATAGTAGGTATGCATGAATTGTTATCAGCATTAACATTATATAAGTGTTTACGTTATTCTAAAATGGAAAAAAATCTCTGTTCATTGCTCCCTCCCTTTTCTTTTCCCATTTTACATAATTGAAAGAATCCAATTGTTTGTTGGTTAATTAGTTTGTTAATTGGGTATCAACCATGAGTCAGCCATTGCAAGGTGCAGGAGATTCAGGAAGGAACCTGACAGTCCTTGCCCTCAAGGAGCCCATAGTATGGTCCATGAGCCACTGCAGTTGAATCCTCTGGGATGCTTGGCAACATTCCAGATCTGTCTGGTACTTGAACCGTCCAGAAAGGTGGCAGTGGCCAATACAACATGGGGAGCTGATGACCTGGTGGTCCTGACCCTTCTACA